TGTCGAGTTTTTCTATGACCATCCCAGTCGACGCGATGTTAAGGTTGTCAAAGCAGTTTCAGTGACACACAGCAAAACATCAGGGGACAACAGATCCATTCTTACGTGTACAACTTCTGACCAATCTTTTGTGAAAAAAATCAACCAGACCAGACTGGACGTTTTGGAACTCGCCAACAAACTGCCGAAGAGAGCGAAAGAGCTGATGATGAAGAAACTTTTCATTATCAGCCATCCCCATGGGAATGAAAAGATTTTGTCCTATGGAGATTCAGTGCTAGTGAAATATGCAATAACGCAAGCCGAGAAAGATGGTTGCATAGAAAAGCGCCTGGTCAAAATCAACAATCACCAGCAAGGTAAGTGGATAAAAAAATGGAATTCAATGGGTAAAGACTGGGAAATAACTCCAACCCCTCATCTAACCAACCTAATTACATTGGTATGATAAATTAGTTTATTTTAAATAGGCTTTAAGAACGAGTTTATTGCAATGAGAAGCTTTCTATTGTATTCATGAAATATGAGTTGTTTAGTGTGCATACAATCATTAACAACATCAGCTGTTTATAATCACAGTGACAAGATCTCCTGAACAGATGAAAAAAGTTCTACTGTACGCCGCTGACACTTGTTTTGGATCCTCTGGAGCCCCCGTTGTGACGTTCAAAAGAGGAGCACCGGATGCCAATGGCCAGCCCACATACCATATGGACCTATGGATGCATAATGGCGTTGAGAAAAATATTAAACTGGGTGCTTCCAACCTTAGAGGTATCGTCACACTCGCATAGATGTGCATGCACCCCATTTAAATGCAACTAAATACTTTAGATAATAATAATGGTGCGTCCTTGCAGCCAGAATGACAACTTTGCTGTTTTTCTGAGAGGATCATTCATGCCATCGGCTTCCAGTTTTAAAATGACAATAAATCTTTGACATCTGCTAACAAAAAAAAAATATGTTTGAAATATTTGTTTGCCTACTTTGAGAAAAAGGTATGAAAAAAATTTCATGCCGCTTATATAAAATAACTTACCCATGTGTACAAAAATGGCTATAATATAACCCAATAAAATTGGTTTCTGATTTATATGGGGTTATCTATATATATGAAGCTGCGGATGTGGAAAAAAAATTCCCGCATTTCTCAATCAGATATGTTGCAAAGAGGTAAAAAAAGGATTCAGTTTTTAGATTCCTTACCTCAAAATCAAAAAAAAAAAAAGAAGAAAATTGTCAAAAAGCACACCATACCCATTACAAAAAAAAAAAAATTCTTCTGAAAATATATCCTTGCCACCTGTTTCATCCGACATTTTTAGACCCCGCTTGCCAAACAAATGAGCAAACAAAAATCAAGGTATCATCAGGCAATAATATCCTGCATGACAATTTAATGAAGTCACTGCAAGCCATGTAATATAATTATGTCTTGGTTTTCATAATGTATGGATGGCCCTTTACTTGTCATATGTATGATATAATTTTATGTCAAGATCAGGAGTAATGGGGGAAATTAAGCTTATATTCTGGTTTTTATGAAAGATATTTGTTGAATTAAAATTTTCATGTTATCCTTAAATTTCATTTTTAATGTTTTCTTCAAACCCTAACTCGAAAAAGAATAAAAACAAGAAAGAAATGAAAAAAAAAAAATTGAAAAAAAAGAAAGAAAAAAAAAGAAAGAAAGAAAATATACGAACTAAAAGAAAAAAAATCCACCAAAGGCAAATGTCTAGCCTTATTTAACAGTTAACACATTTTTGAAAAAGTATAATTATTAATAATGATGCAATCTAAAATTAATTATTGCCTCTCTTTAACATTTTATATGTTTGAAAGTTATAAAACAGACCTAAAATTTTACAAGAAATGAAAAATTGGAATATATTTTTTAAAAACAAATTTCAACATTGTAAATTAAAAATGGAATCCTTTTCCAAATTTAATTTGAATTAAAAATATATTTTTTATGAGTGGAGTAAGTTGTAAGCTGAAATGCAGGCTAACATCAGGGTGAATACATTACAGGATGTTATTAGCATTTGACATAAAGTCATAAAGTGTTAGATTCCAGATTATTTTCATAATTTAAAAAAATATATTCTGATTATTATCATTAAACTGTTTTAAGTTTATGAAAGCCTTTATTTTGATTCATATTTAATTACTTTATTAAGTAAATGTCCCTAATTTTCGTTCATCGTTATTCAACCATACAAATAATTTCCTTCCCCCCTCCCCCCCCCCCCCCCCATTCATTATTTTGAATAAATACTGTTCAACAAGCTTTTAAAATAACTTTTTATGTTTATTTATTGCATTCAATTCAAGTTATTATCAAATTAATTTATACCTAGAAATGGCTGTTCTAATGTATTAAATCTAACCACATTAGTTATTTTTTTGTCTCTGAGTAACACTTTAAACATACACTTTAAAATGTATAGAGAAAAATATGTCTAATAAATCCAATAAATGTTTTTAAACACAATTATTAACAAGTACATTAAAAAAATAATTAATTTTGATAGTAAATTCAATAAAATTATATTATTGGTAATCACTTTCTTAAAAATACATTTTTTTTTATTAAAGTCTTACGGACCCTTGATTATATAATATAGTTTTAAATGATTTCACTAATTTAAAATCACCTAGTTTCCCTGCTATAACGAATGGTTTGAAATGTTCTGCATGTTCATCCAACTTTCACTATTGAAATTCAAGACACTCAAAAGCTCATCTGCTTAAAAAAATAATTCCATCTGTAGAGTGTTCACTTGAAGATATTCAACCATATCAGACTCCAAACTCTGACCAAAACAACACACCAAATGCAGATGAAGAGAGTGAGGATGATGAAGGAAGTCCAGGAAACCAGATAGTTTCCTCTCCAGTGTTCAAAGTCATGAGCCATCCATCCTACCCTGTGTACATTGCTTACCAGAAAAGACTGGAAAGCTTGGCTGCTTGGCAATATCCTCACATTCATACACGTGAACAGCTGGCTTATGCTGGATTCTTTTATGCAGGTTTGCTGCTTTCTTTAAAAGTAGAAACAAATTGCTCTACCGCTAGACAACTAGTTAATACATTTTATTTGAATGTACAGAGACAATAAAATCAGCTTTTTATTAAATATATTTTTGATATTCAAACACAAATTTAAATCTTTTTTAAAGTAAGTTATTTATAATGATTGTGATACTTTCTGTATATTAAAGAAAAATTTAACTCTCATTTAAGCTGTCTTTTGCCTCCAAAGGAAATATATATTTATTTATATATATGTAAATTAAATAAGGAAGCTGTTTTAAACTGTTTCAATCTATAAAGAGGTTAAGTATTTCTTACAAGTTATTTTAAATTGGATCAGTAAATTTATCCTATTGGAGCATTCATATATTTATGGTGATAGCTAGCTTAACCAAAATTGTTTTCAAGTACAATTGCTTTTTAGCAAGAATTAACATTTTTCTTTTAATTATTTAAAAAAAAATGGTTGAAACTAGCCACATAAATAAAAAAAAAAATCAAAGAAATAAAACCAAGCTCCTAATGTTTAATTGTTATTTCTTTGAATTTTTTAAAGGATATTCTGACTGTGTCCGGTGTTTCCAGTGTGGGTTAGGTTTAAGGTCATGGAAACCAGGTGATAACGTAATCGAAGAACACAAAAAGCACAGAGAAACTTGTCCATTTTTGCAAGCACAACTCCGAAGTGATGCAAACAATTTGGAGAGCAGTGAAATAATTGAGTTGCCTCAATTACCTGAACTGGGAAATGGTATGTAGCTCAGGAAATGGTATTTAGCTAAAGAAATTCAGTCTGCTACAATTTACAAATTCTTAATTTAAAAAGTTTAAGTATCACAAATTCGATACAAAAATGTAATGAATAATATCTGAGTAATACACTCGGGTTTTTACTCATATTAGTAGTAAAGGTAAATAACTTCTTTATTTGTGAACATAGTTTCATATGAATGTTTATATTAATTTTGTATAGATAATTCAGTGTCTGTTTGATGAATAAATCTAGTCCTTATAAAGTATCAGAGGAACAAGGGATGTAAAAAAAGTGTTTCTTGAAAACAGCCGCATGGGGAAAACAATTTGCAAATTTAAAACAATGAAAACATTTACGCACACACATACTTAGACTTATCTGAAGAAATCTCTATATTGTTATAGCCTGTTCCTTTTCTAAGCCCAATAAGCCACCCAATTATTTGTAAAGAATAATAGTGCTTTTATGGAGCAGCCATTCAGTTGTTAAGTTAGTTCCTTTTTACAAAATCAGACACCCCCAAGGAGAATGACATGGACCATGTACATACAACTGAAATGTCAAATTTGCCTGTGAAAGAGCCCAATGTAACTATGACAGAGGAAGCTACCCTCCCAGCATATCTGTTCAATCATTTTGAATTGCCTCAGCAAGTAGCAACTGTTAATTGTGTCATTGGATGTAAGAGTAGTCCATCAGTCAAGGAAAGCTGTGGTGAGTATATAGAAATTTGTTTCATTAATGTGGGAATGGGGATTATGTTTTTGATTGATTTTTTCAGATTTTATTTATTTCTGATTAGTACTAGTGCTTATTTCTTTTAATTTATTAACATTATTTAGCTTTTATCATGTTATCTAAAGTGCCTAGTCCAAATACACTCAAGATTTAAGCAGTGTGTCACAGTTAGTCCCATATAAATAGACTTTCGTTTAAATTATATTTTAAAAAAAGAAAGTATTTTTAATTAGGTAGTACTTAGCAATTTTTTTATAAAAGCAATGAAAATTTTAAACGTTCTTTAATGTGAACTTAGTTTACTTAATGCTTAGCTCCCTTAACTTCTTAACACAAAATAAATCAAACAAATTGTTCATTATTGTTCTGTTCTTCAAAATGTTATTTCTTTTGTTAAAAAATATTACCACAAATTTATTGCCCATTTCAAAGTGTCTTTCTATTAAAAATTTATCAATAATCAGATCAAGTGAAAGCTCTAAAAAGAGAGAATATAATATTAAAACAGCAGCTGATGTGCAAGGTTTGTTGTAAATCTCCAATCAAAGATCTTTTCCTTCCATGTGGAGAGCTCTACGCTTGCAGTGAGTGTTCGAAGCTGCTCACCCATTGCCCGTCTTGCAACACACAGATCCTTGCCACAGTGACCACTTATTTTGGTTGATGTGAGTCGCTGTAGTTTGCATAAGTTATTTACCAATAATCAATAAAAAATATATTAAAAAATAAATGTAACTATGGCAAGCCTCTTGAGTGGCTAGTTAGTTTAGATAGCAATGTAAATATGTAATTATAAATGTATCATTTCCTCATTAAGAAAAAATCTTCAATCTTTATTTGATACTCTTAATATAATACTAAAATTAAATGGAAAAGTTTTTCTGTCTGAATATTGATAGAAAAGAAAATTCTAAAAAAATAATAAAATAAATAAATTTACAGCTTTCAGGGATTTATATCTTTTCCCCAAAGTGACTGAAACATTTTTATTATAAGAAATAGATCAAGTAAATTACAAGTATGCCTTATCAAAATGTTAATGTGTAAGATTAAACTATATTCTATTTAAAAGATATATTACTTTAAAAGCTCTAGACTCTATTTAAAATCAATAATTTAATTATAGGTTCATTATGTGTGTGTATTAAATAATTTATCAGGCCAATTATCAAGAATATGTGATTTTGTTCACAAATAGGTTTTATGGACTGAACAGTTGCAATTCAATATAAAACCTGTGCCAGATTAACTTTACAATGTGCATGCTTGTCCAGGTTAAATGTATGTAAATAAATGTAAAACTTCAACAGATACTTTATGTAGCAGCTATCTTAAATGTTCACACAGAGCACATAAGAATAACATTTTCAATGTTGTAGTGGATGATTTTTAGATGTCAAACTTTTGTTTATTTAGCTTTTCAAATTAATTTCTTGAGGGCAATAAAATGAAGATATTCCAAGTTATGCTCTAGTTTTTTGAATAATAATGTAACTGGTATGCCTAACTATCTACACTTGTGTAACATATATTATATATCAATGTATAAATAGGTGTTATTAATTTTATTTAAAAAAAAAATTAAACTTGACACATTTCTTTTTAATTCATTAATTCATTAAAATTGTTTGTTAAATTCTTAGTAGAGGTAGATGGGAAAATGGGGGAGAATATAGTTCTACATTGTGCAACATTGTAATGAATTTTGATCAAAGTATTTGCTTTATTCTATTCTTTATGCTTAAATATATCACATTTGATAATAATTTTTAAATGTTTATATTAAAAAACATTACTGATAATTTTCATCACATAATGTGACAGTAACACACATAGGAATAATCCAACGGAAAACTGGTCATTTTGCTGACACACATAAAATAATCCATTGAAAAACTGGTCATATTGTGACACACGCATAGAATAATCCAATGATAAACTTGTCATATTGTAACACAAGAATAGTCTCATGTTGTGAGACACATAGAATAATCCAATGAGAACCTGGTTATATTGGTGACACACATAGAATAATACAATGAGAAATTTGTCAAATTACTGACACAAATAGAATAATCCAATGATAAATTGGTCACATTGGGGACAAAAATAGAGTAATACAATGATATACTGGTCATGCAACTAACAAACATATAATTATTCAATGAGAAACTAGCCATATTGTGACACACACATAGAGTAACCCAATGAGAAACTTGTTATATTTAGACACACACATAAAATAATCCAATACGAAACTGGTCATGTTGTGAGACACATAGAATAATACAATGAAAAACTGGTCATATTGCTGACGCAAATAGATTAATTCAAAAAAAAAAAACAACAAACTGCTCAAATTGGTGACACACAGAGAATAATCCAATAAGAAACACGTATTTTCCATAGGCACAAGAAATAATCCAACGAGAAAACGGGGAACGTTGGTGACACAAATAGAATAATTCAATGAGAAACTGGTCATATTGCTGAAACACATACAATAATTCCCTGAGAAACTGGTCATATAACTGACACAGTAGAATAATCCAACAATAATTTGGTCATATTGGTGACACATAAAAACAATCAAATGAGAAACTGGTCATATGACTAAAACAAATAAAATAATCCAATGAAAAATTGGTCATATTTTAAAACACATAGAATAATCCAATGAGAAACTAGTCATATTTTAAAACACATAGAATAATCCAATGAGAAACTGGACATATTTTAAAACACATTGAATAATCCAATGAAAAACTGGTCATATTTTAAAACACATAGAATAATCCAATGAGAAACTGGGTATGTTGGTGACATACATAAATAATCCAATTAGAAACTTGTCATATTGGGGACACATATAGTATAATCCAATGAAAAACCGGTCATATTGCTGACAATTACATAAAATAATCCAATGGGACACTGTCATGTTGTGACACAAATAGAAAAAGCAAATGAGAAACTTGTCATATCTCTAAAAATTGAGAAATTGGTCACAATGCTTACACACACATGTAATAATCCAATGAGAAACTGGTCATAATGCTGACACACACATAATAATCCAATGGGAAATTGGTCATAATGCTGACAACCACATATAATAATCCAATGAGAAATCAGTCATAATGCTGACACACACACACACATAACAATCCATTGAAAAATTGATCATAATGCTGACACACACATATAATAATCCAATGAGAAACTGGTAATAATGCTGACACACACATATAATAATCAAAACTGATCATAATGCTGACACACACATATAATAATCTATTGAAAAATTGGTCACATTGTGACACACACATATAATAATCCAATGAGAAATTGGTCATAATGCTGACACACACATATAATAATCCAATGAGAAACTGGTCATAATGCTGACACACAGATATAATATCCAATGAGAAACTGGTCATAATGCTGACACTCACATATATTAATCCAATGAGAAACTGGTCATAATGCTGACACACACATATAATAATCCAATGAGAAACTGGTCATAATGCTGACACACACATATAATAATCCAATGAGAAACTGGTCATAATGCTGACACACACATATAATAATCTAATGAGAAACTGGTCATAATGCTGACACACACATATAATAATCCATTGAAAAATTGATCATAATGCTGACACACACATATAATAATCCAGTGAGAAATTGGTCATAATGCTGACACACACATATAATAATCCAATGAGAAACTGGTCATAATGCTGACACACACATATAATAATCCAATGAAAAACTGGTCATAATGCTGACACACACATATAATAATCCAATGAGAAACTGGTCATAATGCTGACACACACATATAATAATCCAATGAAAAACTGGTCATAATGCTGACACACACATATAATAATCCAAACTGATCATAATGCTGACACACACATATAATAATCCATTGAAAAATTGGTCACATTGTGACACACACATAAAATAATCCAATGAGAAATTGGTCATAATGCTGACACACACATATAATAATCCAATGAGAAACTGGTAATAATGCTGACACACACATATAATAATCTAATGAGAAACTGGTCATAATGCTGACACACACATATAATAATCCATTGAAAAATTGGTCACATTGTGACACACACATATAATAATCCAATGAGAAATTGGTCATAATGCTGACACACACATATAATAATCAAAACTGATCATAATGCTGACACACACATATAATAATCCATTGAAAAACTGGTCACATTGTGACACACACATAAAATAATCCAATAAGAAATTGGTCATAATGCTGACACACACATATAATAATCCATAGAAAAACTGGTCACATTGTGACACACACATAAAATATTCCAATGAGAAACTGGTCATAATGCTGACACACACATATAATAATCCATTGAAAAATTGGTCACATTGTGACACACACATAAAATAATCCAATGAGAAATTGGTCATAATGCTGACACACACATATAATAATCCAATGAGAAACTGGTAATAATGCTGACACACACATATAATAATCTAATGAGAAACTGGTCATAATGCTGACACACACATATAATAATCCATTGAAAAATTGGTCACATTGTGACACACACATATAATAATCCAATGAGAAATTGGTCATAATGCTGACACACACATATACTAATCCAATGAGAAACTGGTCATAATGCTGACACACAGATATAATATCCAATGAGAAACTGGTCATAATGCTGACAATCACATTTTTAATCCAATGAGAAACTGGTCATAATGCTGACACACACATATAATAATCCAATGAGAAACTGGTCATAATGCTGACACACACATATAATAATCCAATGAGAAACTGGTCATAATGCTGACACACACATATAATAATCTAATGAGAAACTGGTCATAATGCTGACACACACATATAATAATCCAATGAGAAATTGGTCATAATGCTGACACACACATATAATAATCCAATGAGAAACTGGTCATAATGCTGACACACACATATAATAATCCAATGAGAAACTGGTCATAATGCTGACAACCACATATAATAATCCAATGAGAAACTGGTCATAATGCTGACACACACATATAATAATCCAAACTGATCATAATGCTGACACATACATATAATAATCCATCAAAAAACTGGTCACATTGTGACACACACATATAATAATCCATTGAAAAATTGGTCACATTGTGACACACACATATAATAATCCAATGAGAAATTGGTCATAATGCTGACACACACATATTATAATAATCCAATGAGAAACTGGTCATAATGCTGACACACACATATAATAATCCAATGAGAAACTGGTCATAATGCTGACAACCACATATAATAATCTAATGAGAAACTGGTCATAATGCTGACACACACATATAATAATCCAATGAGAAATTGGTCATAATGCTGACACACACATACAATAATCCAATGAGAAACTGGTCATAATGCTGACACACACATATAATAATCCAATGAGAAACTGGTCATAATGCTGACACTCACATATATTAATCCAACGAGAAACTGGTCATATTGTGACACACACATATAATAATCCAATAAGAAACTGGTCATGTTGTGAGACACATAGAATAATCCAATGAGAAATTGGTCACATTTGGGACAAAAAATAGAATAATACAATGAGAAATTGGTCACATTGGGGACAAAAAATAGAATAATACAATGAGAAATTGGTCACATTGGGGACAAAAAATAGAATAACACAATGAGAAACTGGTCAATTTGCTGACACACATATAAAAGTCCAATGATTACAAGACGGACACACACAATGGTCTTCTCTGCATTTCAAATGATCCTATCATTTAATAGCAGTTATTTAAACAGTACCAAACAAATGTGATCTTGAATACATGGTTTAACTGAAGTGAGCGAAGACAAACCAATTTTTATTAAAAGAAAGAAGATGTGAGCCAAGGGAAATAAATCATTTAAATGAAGTTATATATTTCACTGTAAATAACTACCTTCTATGGCAAATATGAGCTATGTTAATTGTCAAAAAAAAAAAAAAATGGATAATTTTTTCATAACACCAAGATTTAAATTTCAGCTATTTGAAAATCACCAATATCTACGAAATAATATAAATTTGACATGAATTTTATTTCTCGAATCCAACGCTATTCTAATTGTTGTCTCTCTAAGTAACTAGTAATATTTTAGTTTTGTAATAACGATTGCAAAAGGGACATAACTGCACATTCGAATAAGGAAACACTGTTTCAAAGGTTGCCTATTTTAAAGATAGTTTCAGACCTACGGCGGAGATTGTAAATGATTTCACCCTCGGAAAATTGTATATAAATTCTCTCTCAATAACTTTTTTATTATTTTTTGTTGGCATCCGTCCGTCACAATGTGATGATGGAGTGGGTGGGCTTCGGAGGACAAAATCCACATGGCCTGGGATCATTCTTCAAGGATTATAGGCGGGTTACCAACAGCAAATCGCTTCTCTCCACGCCGCTGGATAACCCAAGGGAACATCATTGGATGATACAGCTTGGCACCAGTGACGTAGCAGGAGTTGTCGGAATGTTTCATTGTATTAATGTTATCCGCCTTTCGGGACTCCAACTCCGGGTTTGATTTCAGTTT